CGACTCGGAGCGGGAGATGAAGAACTCGTTGGCCCCCACGGCTGTGGCGCCGCCACGGGGCAGCAGCTTCCATGAGAGCGCACATCCGCTGGAGTCGCTGGACAAGATCATGCCACTCAGCTCGGACGCGATGCCGGCGCCACTGCCGCTGCGTATTGCCTCCAAGGTGGTGGAGAGCTGCAATCGGTATCGGTGTGTGTCCTCGCGACCCATTGGCTACCGCTCGTCGGCGCCGCCGCTGGCCTTTGCCGCCCAGCTGCCGGCAGGTCTTCTCAGCGGCGGTCATGGCAAGCAGCAGTCGGTGGGCATTGGCAAGCGGAAGGACTTCCACGAGACGTTTGCCAATCTGATCAAGCTGGGCAGTGTAGATCGGCAGGATGCCAAGCCGTCGCAGGAGGAGCACACCTGGCAGACGGAGCTAAAGGATCTCATATGGCTGGAGCTGCAGGCCTGGCAGGCCGATCGCACCGTGGAGCAGCAGGACAAGTACCTCTTCGAGTCCCGCCAGGGCGTCTCCGATCTTCTCACGCAAATCATCAGCTACAAATTCCAGCCACGTTATCGCCGTGAGCCGAGTCTGATTAGCCTGGACAGTGGCATTCATTCCGAGAGCAATTCCAATGCCAGTTGTAAGTGGGAAAATATATTTGATGGGAGTGTAAATACTTTATCGATCTTTTGGCAGCGCCTTTGCCCAGCAAACTGTGTCAGGGCTGCATGTCGCTGTACTGCAAGGACTGCATGGAACAGCAGGAGTTGGCGCTGCGCGAAGTCGAGGGCATGCTGACACGACTGGAGGCTGCCGAAGCGCTCTATCCCTCGTCTCAGGCCATGGGCGCACTGCATCCCATATACAAGTCGCAGAGTTTTGTGGGTCGCATCAAGTCCATGTGCCTGTGGTACAACATTACCAAGCAGAACAAACTGAAGCTCAGTATTTTGGGCATGATTCTGGCCAGGTAGGACACACACAACAGTTGATCCTTATACGTCACTTATTATGGAAAATGTTTTCCCTTGCAGGCTGCAGGATGAAAAGTTTTCATGGCCCGTGCAAACTGCATGCCCCGCTGCCTCGGACAGCGGTAACTCATCCGCCTCGGGCGTGGACAATGATGATTCTGCGGTGAATTCAATAGACTCTGCCAAGCCGCCCAGCTGTCCAGCTACGCGCAAGGGCTGCCGCAATGGCAGCGTCACATCCAGCCATAAGGTGCAGTTTATGCTCAACGATGCGGCGCATCTGCCGGGAGAGACATCCAGCAGCAATGAGTAAGTGAATTAAGCTTCCCCAAATATTAGATGATTCTCTATTGCCTTTCCTTGCAGATCCACCTCCACTGAGGTCAGTCAGCTGTCCAGCGAGTGCCTGCATGGTCATGGCTTGCGCAAAGGTTCCATGCATGACATCAACATATTCAGCGTTGAGCCACTGGGCACCTGCAGCAACGACGTCAGCGGTGGCGATGGCTCCTCGGCGCTGTACCGAAAGTTTATTGAGAATGTGCTGAAGAGTCGTGGATTGGCCAAGTCGCTGGCATTCCTGCACAAGCTGCACAATGTGGCCCTGTACAAGGCGCACATTGCACTGGAGAAGCCAGGGGCCGAGGACTTTGACTTCGAGTTGGATGCGGAGGCGATTGAAGAGGATGTGCCGCGGCTGGATCCGCAGATAAGTCGCGAACAGGTGATCGAGCTGCGCACATACGGATACTGGAGCGAGGAGGCGCAGTCGATCAATTTACCCTCATACATTCCCACCTTTGTGTTCCTGAGCGGCATACCGCTGCAGTTTATGCATGAGTTTCTGCGCATGCGCCTGGAGACGCGACCCGTTCGACCCAATCCCCTCAGCCTGGGGCAGCTCATGAAGGAGCTGCGCGAGGGCCTGACCCTGGCGCTAACCCATCGTGAGCGCTACCAGCGGCACATTACGACGGCTCTGGTGGAGAACGAAGCGGAGCTGGGCAGCTACATCAACATCCTCAATCAGTACGATGCCACTGTGCGCAAGACCTTTGAGCTGTATCTCGACTACATCGATCAGCTGGTGCTGGTGGCCGTGCCAGAGACGAATCAGAAGTCGGTGCTCGAGAAGGAGTGGATGTTTACCAAGCTAATCAGTCCCATGATCACGGGCATGCACACTCTTGCCTCGCAGAAATTCTGCGGCATCATCAGCAAACTGCTGCGCAGCATCTCGGAGCGGCTGGTGAAACGCTCCGTGGAGTTGGACCAAAAGATCGTGGGCACCGCCGACAACGATGACAACGAGGAGCTCAAGTGGCAGTTGCTGACCATTTGCCGGGAGACACAGTCGCTGCTCACCGTCGAGCGGGAGCGTTCCATCAAAGTGCTCTTCTTTGCCAAGACCTTCTGCCGCGATGTCGAGACGACGGACTTCCATCGGGAGCACTACGAGGACGATGTGGCCAATCATCAGCACGATTTCATATGTTCGGACGTAAAGGCGGCATTCAAGCTGCTGCAGCACGATGTGCTCGAGGTGCGCAATAAGCTCACAGAGATTATTGAAGGGGTACAAACCCGCTGCTGTCTGAGCAACATGCGTGACCTGGACGAGCAGGATCGGCAGGCGGTGCTGTCGCGCACACGGGAGATCCTTCATCAAGGCTACAAGTTCGGCTTTGAGTACCACAAGGATGTCATCAGGCTGTTCGAGCAGCGCATCATGGACCAAAAGGACAGTGGCGCGCACACGGTAGACCTAGCACTGGGCATCATTACTTACGCCAAAATGTGGATGCATTTTGTGATGGAGCGTTGCGAACGGGGGCGTGGCATGCGGCCGCGTTGGGCCTCCCAGGGTCTGGAGTTCCTCATTCTTGCCTGCGATCCGCAGATCACCCAGCACCTGGACGAGCATCAGTTCGAGGAGCTGAAACAGCAAATGGATCGCTGCATTTCGCATGTGATTGGCATCACCTCGGAGCCGGAGAAGGTGGCGCGCAAGAAGGCATCGCCACGCACCCGCAAGACCTCATCGCCGGCCACCTCACGCTCCCGCACGCCCACCCGCACCCCCATGTCCGCGGGCATTGTGCTGAATCCTAATACGCCGCCGCTACAGTCGCCGCCCTACAACAAGCTGCTGCATCCGCAGTTTAGCCTCAAGGAGGACTTGCTGCAGCAGTCATCGAACGCGTACAGTTCCGTGGACAGCGGCGACTATGTGGACACTCCATGCCGCAGCAGTCCCAATGGAGAGCTGCGACTGCTGGTGCCCCAGACGCCGCCCACACCGGCATCCTCGGGCAAGGGTAGCATTGAGAGCACACCGCTGGCGCTGCGGCAGGAACGGGTGCGCGATGCCGTCAATCGACTGGATCTGGATCTGGAGGAGCAGCTGCGCGAACGTCGACTGATTGGCCAGGTCAAGGCCCTAAACTCGAGCGACAAGGTGCACATCCGTGCGCGCAGCGTCCACTTCCGCTGGCATCGCGGCATCAAGATTGGCCAGGGACGCTTTGGCAAGGTCTACACGGCGGTCAACAACAACACGGGCGAGCTGATGGCCATGAAGGAGATCGCCATACAGCCGGGCGAGACGCGAGCCCTCAAGAATGTCGCCGAGGAGCTCAAGATTCTCGAGGGCATTAAGCACAAAAATCTGGTGCGCTACTACGGCATCGAAGTGCATCGCGAGGAGCTGCTCATTTTCATGGAACTCTGCTCCGAGGGCACACTGGAGTCGCTAGTGGAGCTGACCGCTGGTCTGCCCGAGGCACTGGCACGCCGCTTTACCGCCCAACTCCTCTCGGGTGTGTCCGAGCTGCACAAGCACGGCATTGTGCATCGCGACATTAAGACGGCAAACATCTTCCTAGTCGATGGCAGCAACAGTCTCAAGCTGGGCGACTTTGGTTCCGCAGTCAAGATTCAGGCACACACCACAGTGCCCGGCGAGCTGCAGGGCTACGTGGGCACACAGGCCTACATGGCGCCAGAGGTGTTTACCAAGACGAACAGCGATGGCCATGGCCGAGCCGCCGATATCTGGTCCGTGGGCTGTGTTGTTGTGGAGATGGCCTCGGGCAAGGTAAGCGTTGACACCTCAGTACAGTGGCTGGTACTTGTAGATAAGCAGAGCGGTTTGATTTATTTATTGCTCATTTCACAATGTTTCGTAACTGCGGAGTTCTTTCAGAGCTTAAATGCGGGGTAGACCGAATTTCCATTACCAATTTATGCATATTTCGTTATTCCTATGTTAGGGAACATTTCTATATAGCTGAAGACACTAAAAAATTTCCAATATATGTTTGCCACAGAATAGATCGGTTTTGGGTACAATTATGTAGATTTTTCCATAAGTATTTCGATCACAAGTAGAACCATTAGACGCGAAGAACTTTTACCCTTTTTAATTAACATTAATCCCTTTTTTCTTTATTTAATATTCGTTTAGCGTCCTTGGGCACAATTTGATTCCAATTTTCAAATCATGTTCAAAGTGGGCATGGGCGAGAAGCCCAAGGCGCCGGAGAGCCTATCGCAGGAGGGTCACGACTTTGTCGATCATTGCCTGCAGCATGATCCCAAGCAGCGTCTGACGGCCATGGAGCTGCTGGAGCACAATTTCTGCAAGGTTTGTAGCGCCACAAAATAAATCTTCTTACAAATCCACTCATTTCTTTGATCTGTCCTGCAGTATGGCCGTGACGAGTGCAGCAGCGAGCAGCTGCAGATGCAGGTGCGGGGCTCGTTTCGACGCAATGTGGCAACCAGCTAATCGTGGAACATGGAATGAAAACCTCTTTGGAGTTTTCTATCTTAGCTCACCCCTACGTATGGTGTGTGGCATATGTAAACGGGTGGTGCGTGCACTTTGTGTAGTGTTTAATTTAAGTGAATGTCGATTAACTTTATGGCTGCGCCTAGTTGTATGTTGGACAATAAATAACCCAATTTAGTGAAGAGCCAAGCCAATCCGTATCCCAAATTCATTTAATCTATGCCAAAAAACTAAGCAACTAAGCTTGCAATTGAATATTTAATTCAAATATCATCGGACACTCTCGTGCTTTAGTAAATTGGATATGCGGTCGAGGCCTCGGGTGTGGGATCGGTGTCTGAAGCGCTTGGTGGTCCGGGGAAGGCTGTGGTGTCACTACCCTCGACGGGTGCTCCATTGGGAGGAGTTGGATCCGGCAGGCCAATGGTGGGTATAGACTGGGCCATGGTCCACGGTGTGCAGAACAGGAAGAGGCAAATGCTCAGCAGCAAATACAGGACTGCATAAGGATTTTAACAATTGAATGAGCATTATATCATATTTATTCCCGATTAAAACTTGCACTTACATTTCATGGTGATGGCGTGACAAAGACTGTTGGCCTGTCGCTCCGCCAAGCGGCTTTTATGGCCGCTAAAACGCTGATGACTTACTAATTAAATTCCCCAAAATTAATCTTACTGGCATTGGGCTTATCGAAATTTGGATACTTGGATATGAAATGCTGGCCAGCGTCGCCGTGGATTTAACCAATGAAAAATAAAAAATATATTTTTCCAAAAAAAAAAAAAGATAATCAACGAAGGCGATTATCTGTTCTTGGAAATAACCATATCCAGCAGCATATTGAAGGTAGATGTGAATGTGCTTATGACGCACAATTCAGCTACAAATTGTATATAGCGTGTACCCAGATCAGAATCCAATTGTAGGTCAACGAATAATTGAATGCGTTTGATTGGTAATGCATTTTATTTATTTTTTCATTTCTGGTGATTATTTTTGCATACAATACAACGGAATCAAGATCAAGTAAAACTTAACGACAAACATTAACGTAACATAGTTCGGTTAGACGGGGGATAGACAGATATAACTCGTTGATATGTATTTATGTAGCGACAGTTTCAGTTAACAGTTTTTAAAGTTTAAACAATATAAAGATAGCAACAATGAACACAGCAACTAGTTCGATATACGCACATACACATATATATGTTCTATAGTATCTAGTTTTGTTTCTCTAACAGTTTTCCATATATATCATTTCTTCATGTAAATAACATACGTATATATTTTATAGAATATTTTTTGACTGATAGCGATCCGATAATCACTATCAAAACACACGTGTCACTAACATTTCAAACAGACAAACATATATATATTTAGTTATTTTCTATATAGTAGATATATAATTTCCTTTTTCCTTCTTTCTCTTCACACCCTTGCTGGGGCGCATGTAAATTTATTGATATGTATTGTTACGTCTCAAGTCTATACGCGTACAATGATTTCTCTCTAGAATTTTCCTCTATTTCTCAGATATGTATTGTATATATATATTCCTCCAAAAAGCCTTTAGTTACGGGCATAGTATACCATTTCTGCTCTCTAAACACGCACATGAATATATGTTTCTCTTGCGAGTAATTATAATTGTTTTTAAACGAACAACAAGCAACGAAATTGTAGTAACAAGCATGGAGATAATACAGCTACTTTCTTTCTTTTTTTAGTTCTCTTTTTAGTACATATTTTAGAGCACAACGCGAAACGTAACGAAAGTATTGCATACTTGTGGGCGGCATGGCCAAACTGCTTAGGGGAAAGGTTGTCAAACAAAGGTTCTAAGCTCGGCTAATTTAATTTTTTGTCAATTGTCCATTAATTGATATTTGTTTGTTACGATTATATTGCATATATACGCTTAGTATAATTAACACACTCAGATAACAGCGCATAAAATTGCTCTAAGACATTTAATTGACTAGAATGGCATCTGCGGGCCATCTACGCGGAGTACTTTTGGTTAGGTGAGGGGACAACATGATAGCAATGATTGACTTTAGTTTTTGTTCGTTTTTTCGTTTTTCTTTTCGAACCCAACAACGCTCGTTGGGTGGCTTCGCTTTGGTGGTGCTTTTGGTCACAAATGAAACGCCAGAAGGTCGCGGACTCAGTCGCGGACGCCAGTTAACCACAGATTTTACATGTTTAGTTTCGTTTGCTAGTTTTTGCTAAGGTACATTTACTGATATGTATATATATATTGTTGTATATATTTTATATTCCCTTTAATTCTGCAACAGATCCCGCATTATGTCCAGCGAGTCCTGCAGCGACTTGGCATAGCGAGAGGCGCTCGTGTCCTCGCACGAGTAGAACGCAGACACACAGAAGACTATCTGCTCGGGCTGCGGATTGTAGGAGCAGCCATAGCCACGAGGTGTCACTGGACCATAGCCCATAAAGCTGTCCGTGCTGCAGGCAACCTGTAGACGGATCGGGCGGCATTTTAGTCACAGAACGGAGAGACGGGTACTGGAACAAGCCACACGACTAGCTGGATACGTACTTGTGCAGCGGGTGAGTGCTCTGGTGCTAGACTGTGCTGTGATTGTGGTGCAAAAATAGATCAAGTGGTGCAAACAGTGGTGCAGAGCGAGTGAAAGGTGCGGGTGTGGTTAGGTGGCTGCCTGAAATTTACTACCTGACTGGTGGAGAGCAAGAAACACTGCGAAATCTTGTAGGACTCATCGGTGAAGAGCTCGGCCATTTCGCCAGTGACCTCCACACTAGCCTCACGCAGTCCCAGCAGCGGTATGTCAATGCCACTGCCCAGAATATTCTTCACCATCACCTCGGTTTGACGGGCCACAGCGCAGCGGAAGAGCTCACGCAGATGGTCCTTCTGTAGATAGATTTATACAGATAAGATAGAGGTTCCCTTGGTTGGGCTTGGTCAGGCTTGTATACGCACACTGTAAATGCTAAATGTGACCTTGCGCGCCTCTTCCTCATCCTCGCGATCGCTCTCCAGCGTCACATTGGCGCCCTCACCCTGGCACATGGCTTTGGCCCATTCCAAAGCCTCCGTACTAGCCGCTCGAATGCAGTCCACGCGGCCCTAGAAGACACACACAAGTATAAGTTTAATTACATAGAAAGGAGTCCACACTCACGTGCAAAAATCTCCTCGTGGATGCACTCTCGTAGGTGGCCACCAGACGTCCATAGAGCTTGAAGTGCGCCAACTGCAGTGCCAGCTGAATGTACACATCCGGACTGACCTGACACGACTTGATGAATGTCTTGCCATAGCCACGATAGCGATAGACATAAAAGTCCAGATCATCGATGGCCTTGTCCACGCTCTTGGCAGCCTGGCCGAAACGCAGCTGCAGCTGTGGGCCACTCACGTGCCACTCGAGACGCTCGGGCGGCGGCAGATGATGCTGCGGCAGGCCATTGTCCTCGTCCGGATGGTCGACAATGTTCTTGTAGATCTTCTCCAGCAGCTGCACCACGGCAATGCCCTCGGATGTGGAGTGCTCGTAGCACAGGCCCCAAGTGCCATCGGTGCAGATGATGAGCTGTGGGGGCAGGGGCAGAGCCAAATGTTAGCCCCATTCGAAGGTCCAACATCCTGCTGGACTCACCTGCATGGTCTTGTCGAACCAACGATTGCCTGAATTGTACTCACTGCCACCGCCGTGGATCATTTCGTGTGCCATGTTCGTCTCATCGCGATCTCCGGCCCTGTGCATGCTGGGCGTGGCGCCGCTGAAGCCGCGAGCATTGAAGTTCCCGCCCAGTGGCTCGTCCAGACAGAGCACTACCTGCGCCGTCTCTATGAGCTCCAGATTGCGCTGATTGCGCTCATCCGACTGCAGAGCCTCGCGATCCCGAGCCCAACGTGTCCGCGGCTCGGCAGTCAGCAGGCCAACTGGCAATGGCTTGGCCGGCAGACAGGGAGCATCGCTTAGGACGTAGAGGATTTGGGAGGCAATCTCGCTCTCGGATAGCTTGCCGCGATCGGAGGCCTGCAGCACCACGCAGTACATTTGATTGCGGCAAATGACAACCACGTGGCGATCCTCGTCGTTGGTTCGCTCACGCGACGGCAGGTACTGGGAGTCGCGCTCAACGCCGGGCCGGCGACAGGAGCCCAACAAACGATAGTACTGAGCCATGCACAGCGGCTGGTTCTTCTCACGCGAGGCGGCACGCTCCAGTGGCAGCTCCCCGCTGTCCAGCATCTCCTTGTGCGCGAGAATCCCAGCGAGCAGTCGCGCCGCAAAGTGGGCCACATCGTGGACGGTCTTGAAGCGTCGGGGGGGGAACACCATGCCAGGATTCGAGTTGATTGGCAAGGGAATGCGCACATTCATGTACATGTCATTGAGCCAGTAGTAGTAGGCCTGGGAAGGTCACAAATGGTTGAGGTGTAACATGGAAACGATATTATTGTAGCCATTTCCGCTCCATGTTCGACACAAATTCAATTAGGGCCCCGAAATTTGGGCTTGCCCCCGATGCTGTGGCATGCTTTTATCAGCGAGAATCGCATCTTATCTCAGACATTGCGTGCAGAGATCGACAGATACTCAACGATAGCATCGAAGCACTATAAATAATGGCAACTGATGCGAACAGAAATCAGTACCAGTACCAGTACCAGTACCAGAGCTCCCAACAGCATTCACGGATACCCCAAACCCAGCAGCCCTAATATGAAAGGTAGGACACGCTCGCAACTCTTTGTAAAAATATTCCTAAAACCCTTCCCTTTCCTTGCAGTATTTGCCCTTACTCTGCTCTGCCTGGCAGCCGTTGCCCAGGCTCATGTCAGCTACAAGCTGCAGTGCGCCCGCGGGGAGATTGGCATCCGCTGGCCCAGCTACCACAGCAACTCTGAGTACTATGTGTGCCAGGGTGTCTACGGCAGCCAGCTGACCATCCACTGCCCGCCCGGCGAGGTCTTCACCTTTGTGCTGCAGCAGTGCGCCGCTCCCTCCCACTACATTCCAGCGCCACCAATCGATGTCCTGCCCACGGCTGCACCCATCACCATGACCGTCGTGGACGATGCACCGCCAGTGATGGGCCCCAGTGTGTCCACCTCTGCACACAACCAGTACGAGCAGAACCACAACAACGAGCACCACGCCGAGCACTTTGAGCACCACGAACACCACGAACATCACGAGCACGAGCACCAGCCCGAGGAGCAGGTTATTGTTCACCCAATTCCCCCGACCCCAGCACCCGAGCCACCAGTTGTGGACTCTGCCCTCAAGCCCGCACTTGCTCCCATGCCCCAGAAGGGCAGCGGCATGAAGAAGCCAGTCGTGCCAGTGCCTGCCAAGAAGCCCGTTGCTGCGGCCAAGAAGCCAGTGGCACCCTCCAAGGCCGCCAAGAAGCCCACGCCACCCAGCAAGGCCCAGAAGAAGACACAAACTGCCTAAGAGCAAGCCCAATCTCCATCGTTACAGCAAGCGGAAATTCCATTCACAACTCAGAAAATAGCAAATAACAATAAAACAATTAACTAAATATCCAACTGCAAAACGGCCAAAAAAGGGAAATTTTCTATGAGCAAAGGAAGAGGGGCAAAGGGGGGCATCGGAGGTATCGCTAACTGTCAGCAATGTGCCCTGCCTTATCGTTGGAAAGAGAGTTGAGTTGACATTTTAATTGATTACGATTTCTTGTTATTTTCGGAATGATACTCTGACATTTGTTTCCGATAATGTAAAATGGGAACAAGCAACCAACAAAAAAGAGAAGAAAGAATAGCTGCTGAAGCGCCACAGCTAGAAACTGAAGCTGAAGCTCTCTAATTGGGTTACCAAACACCAAGGAAACTGTCATTTAAATGACAAAGCACACATCCGTTGAGAGCAGCACAAAGTGATTCCCAGTTTTGGTTAGAAATGATTCTGCGTTATCTGCGTGCCAAAGATAAAGAATGCCGAGAAATTCAATTCGGCAGAAATGCCATGAAGTCATTGCCAGTCAGCACTGCTCACACTCCACAGCTAGTATTCCTCACTCATAGATGATCTTCCGCAGTCATGCTAATTGTTGCTGGTAGTTTCCGCCATTTGTTATCTTTGGTTCTTGGGGCGGTTGAAGATTACCCAAACTTGCAGAGAGTGAGAGCGAGAGGCACTCGCCTCTTTTAAGGCGCATTTCAGTTCAATTATTTTGTAGCGTTTGGCATTTTGTGATTTTAATTTCGCACCCAGCAATGCCCCACCAATGCCTGACAAGACATGAATTAATCTAGCAGCGGGCTGATTACAAATGTCTAACATGTTCGCGCAGGTGGCATAAAAAGGCTTTGCCAACGCCACGAAATGCATCAGTGATCAGTGAGCCGAGTTAAGAGCGAGTCAGTCGAAGCGAACCCCAAAATCAGCAGCAGCAAATATGAGAACCGGTAAGTGTCTGGCTACAAGGATACAGAATGCCCAAGAGATTCTATAAACTATTCCATCCATCCATCCCCAAAGTGATCTTCGTGCTGGCCGCCATTGTGGCCGTCAATGCCCAGAGTTCGTGTGTCCGCACGCCCGTGTACACGGAGAAGATCGATCCGATCAACTGCCCCAAGGCAGGGATTAAGCTGCCCAACTATGAGAATGCCCAGACCTACTATCAGTGCGCCAAAGTGGGCGGCACTGGCACGCTGACAACCTGCCCCAACTCGGGCTACTTCAGCTACGTGCTGCAGAACTGTGCCTCCTGCGACTCGTACATACCCTCCACCACTTGCTCTGCTCTGCCCTTCAAGGCCACCTGCGTGCCCATTGGTGCCACCACACCGGCCGTCACCACACCGGCACCATCGACCACGGGCAGCGCAACCACCGCAGATGCTGGCAAAACCACGGCTGGAGTCACCACAGCGGCACCCACCACCACCGTAGCTATGCCAGGGCCACCCACCGATTCTGGCATCAGCACGAACGCTCCCGGGGATACACCTTCGGGCACCACCATCTTCATTCCCCAGCCACCCTCCCCAGGAGAGAGCAATGTGCCCACTCCGGTGACGCCTGTGCCCACCGCCCCGAACCTAGATCCCACTCCCCCCACCGCACCCGAGGCATCTGTCCCGAATTAAACGCAACGTTAAGCACTTCCGCACAGTTAAAGATATTCCCATGAATAAAGTGTTCGCCAGAACAATGATCCAATATCCACCACCACCCTCCCATCAAGGCTTACCCAGTTATCCTCCACCTCGCGCTTGTCCAGCAGATACTGATGCAGTCGCTCGCCCAGTGCCTGCGGTGCCGTGAACTGCCTGATCAGCTCCTTGGTGCGCTCCAGCTGCGCCGGCGTCGTTATGGGCTCCAAAGCCCGCACATAGTCGGCCATCGTTTCCTCCAGTGGTGGGACGGGTATCTTGGGTAGAGTCTGCCAAAGGATAAGGTAAATGTAAAAGGGTTTCGTCAGTGGGCAAAGTTAAGGGTTCGAGCTGCAAATTTCATTTCGTTTTGTGTCAGCTCAAGCTGGGGTTTTCCCTTATTTTTCTCCGCATTTTCCTCATTTGTATGCATGACATTATCGAGCTCCAAATGGAAAGTTTTCATCTCGCAGCGCCAGCGGCAACACAGAGACTTTATCCCCCAGGGAACTAAATTGCAAATCACACAACAAAAAAAAGAAGGGAAAGAAATGGCATGGCATTGGCACGAATCTGACAGCCACGGGCATTGAGTCCTTGAAATTTCTTTCTATTCCGTTTTCCCGGTTTGCCGGCCACCCTCTGAAGATCTTAATTGAGAGTTCTGCACTTGAAATTCCCCAGTCGCCTGGGGGGCTGCTGGCTGCATTCCAATCGATTTTCATGAATCTGTTGGAGCTCAGTCGGGTTTGGGTTCGGGATTCTGCTGCCTAAATGCTGAAACTTACAGCCGTGGGTTTGTTCTACTGGCTGGTGTCGCAAAACACAATTTGCCACTTAACAAAAAACAGTCGAAACGCTGAAAAAAGTGTCAGCATGCTGTTGACTTTACCGAGCTCAGTTTTCAATGGCAGCCAGCGACAAAGGAACATCCTGTACCCCCTCTCTCTATCTCAATCTCTATTTTTTGGGGGTTGCTACGGGGCTGCTGTGCTTTTTGTCAGGTGAGCGAGAGTGTGAGGCTTCGGGCTGGCAGGTTTGTTTGCCCAAGCTGAGAGGGCTGGCTGGCAGGTTGGTTGCCAGGCCGCCGGCTTGCCTTCTCCCCCCTTCGAACTGGCGACGTACACAAAAGCGCTTGTTATTTGCATTTGTAATTATAACAAACAGGATTAGTCTGTGTGTCTGTCTGTCTGTCTGTCTATTTGTGTGTGTATTCGAGTTTGGGCTTTGAATAATTCAAGTAGCTTTTGGGCAAATATTTGAACCAGCAGTTCCAGCAAACAGAAAAGAGAAATACGGAAATTTGTTTAATCAATTTTACTCACGTCAGGGAATCCAAATTCGTCTACGGACTCCGCCGTTGAGAGCCATTTCTTGGGAATCGACAATATCGAGTCTTTCCATCCTGAAAGTAACAAAAGAAAAAGAAAAACCAACAAACGACACAAGTCGTTGATCGTTGATTAAGCGCTTGTTGAACAACACAATTTAATTGTTGAGTAATTTCATTTGTTGGAGAGGGTTGAGCCGTTGAGCGTTGCTTGTCACACAGTCACAGTCTGCAATCGTTAACACCAGGCCAGAGCAGACCGATACCGATACCAACAAGCTAGTTAATCACTGTCACAAATCTCAAGTGGGTCTACGCAGCCGTTTAGCTGGTTATATCCCAAAAAACAAGGCCCATACCTAATGCTATCGGCTATGTGGAATGACAGCAAGACGTATGGCCTATGCGTCACCAAGGCATGAGATTGCAGCTGAGAAATTCCACAAAACAGTGGAACCCTTCCATGATTTGGTTTCGCTTTATCTCAAGTTCGTTTTACTCTATCCCCTAACCTTGTTTCCCCACCCACAGCCACACATGTGAGCTTCAGACAAATTCGTGCCAGTTTGCCATTTATTGTCTTGGCCAGGCATCCGCTCACAAAATGCAATAAAATTGTGCACAGGAAACTGAAAACTCTTGAGCTTAAACCCTCGTCCATTTCCTTTTAGACGTCCGTCTTGATTTTCCCCCCAATAAAACTTTCGACTGTCATTGATGTAACTCAACTGTATAAGCACTTCCGGCTGCCCATTCCCGTTCCGAACCCCAAGCAAATTTCCGGCTTTAGTTCGCATGGCCATGGCCCACGAGTGAGGCTGCGAGTGTTGTCACTGCCACTGGTAGTTATTGAGAATTTTCAACATACAATCAGCAATCACAACTGAAAATTAGATACCTAGTGGATGCTTTATTTTGTCTTTAAATTGGATCAACGGAAAGGCCTCCCTTCATTCACATTTAGCACACAAAATTTCCAAAAATTGTCAACGTTTTCTTCTACCCATTTCTAATGTGTGTCTTGTCTCTCTACTCTTACAGGGGTTCTAAAAATCGAATCAAAAATGTTCGTCACTTGAGTGGGAAGCGCAAGAGAGTAAGTTTATCGAGCACTTGACCGCTTTGAAGCACTTCCGCTCTGAGTGGTGGAGTCCTAACGTGGCCTGCACCCACCTTCTGAGCACAATCATAATGTTATTAATAAAAGTTATGCTATGACAATATCGGGATGAAAGGAAAACGAGTGGAGGTTAGCGGTGGCACGCGTCGCCCTTCCCACACACAACGATGTCGAATTTAATGCAATTTATTATCCTTTTTTCATTATCTTGCTGGTAAAGATTCCCCAACCCGGTACAGCCAACTAGCTGGCGGAGGTAATCACACAATGGAGTCACGTGGCAGCAATTTGAGCGTCCGTCCATCCGTACGTCTCCATTGTTGTCATTGCTGGTGGAACTCCAACAGCAACCACAAAACCAGCCCGTAACCAGCTCGAGCTCTAGCCCTAGCCCCTCTCCTGCCCATCTGCAAATTGTAATAAATTGTATTAGGAAGCGGCGCAGAGGAATTCAAATTAAGTAATTAAAGCTCTGGTTTGGGTGCCATCTTTGGGGTTGCTCAGCCTTTGGGATCTGGCTAATATTTTTGCCTCTTAATGGAGCAAATATCAATTACTCAAAAAGTGCCGCTAAAGTTGTAGCTTTGATGCGTAAAGATAAATTTTAATTATAAAGTTTACGGGCATTTCGGACTTAATAAATATGAATAGGAATTTTCACTTGCTGCTGCTGCATTTTCCATTGGGATTTCGTGACCAGCCAGCGGGGCGTGTCACCTTCAATTAGATGCATTGGCGAAGACACTTTTCCAATTGATTGATCGATTGATTGATGGCCGGGATTTCTGATTAGAGCGACAGACAGACAGGCTAATCAAATATTCATGCACCATTACAATGGCAGCTGGAGCAACGCTCCCCTTTTCTGTCAGCTTCAATTTGTTCGATTCTGTCAGTTTTTGTGCCAAATCATGATTCGATTTGGACCGGGCCATAACTTTTGTAGAGATGGGGATAAAGCTATGCCCCGGACAATTCACACATTACAAAGCGTTTGGAGCTTATGTCCAACACGTCTTTCCTCTTTAAATGCCGCACCAATAAAACGCGTCAGTAAACCGAGCGGCTCATTATTAAGCTGCAAAAATCACGCTCGAAATCATAGCATTCCGACCCGCCCATGCCCACTCCTCCTCCTCTATGACAGGCAACTGCTGCCGCCTGTCAGACAATGCGATAAAAATGTAATCCCAATGAAAAATAATGTTTCTGCTGGCATGATTCCAATTTAGCAACAGTCAACCCCAAGACCCGTAGCTCATTAGAACGTAGCCGGCAATGGCAGCTGCTAACCGAAGCAAATGAAGGAGAAGAATTTAAAAAGGCAAAACAAATCCGTACCCAAACGAGGCTGGGGAGTCGCGACACGTTGCGACTACATAAAACACCAGCGGTACAAGCTGTGACCCCCAGACCGCAGTATGGGTGCTGGTACCAGGCGGGATGCTGGGGTTCCTGCCTGCTCGCAGAGGGTCATAACATTGTCGAAGCCCAGGCCATGAATGGATGAGAGAATGAATGAATGAATGAGTTTTTCCGCCTTTGTTCGGTTCGGTTTGGCTGCTCGTAAAGGGCTTTATACGCTTGTAAGGGTGGGCCCCTGTCGCTCCCTTCGCACGCACATCACAATTGAGCCGTAAATCCTTTACGGTCTTAGCGGCTGGCTGTACTTCCCGTACTTCATTGCTCTTTTGTGGCCTGTTCCTGGCTCTGGCTCTGGCTCTGGGTCTGGGGCCTGTCTTCGCTTGGCTTTATTTTGTTCGTCGGCAAATGCCTGGCATACTTTTGTGCGCCAAACTCAAATTAACTGCCGCATTGAGGCATTGGAGATTCTTTGTAATTGTTCGAATTGACACAAGCGGAAAGCACAAATTGCCAGCGTATTGTGGCTGAAACAATTGTGGGCAGAAATGGGAGCAGAACTGCCACTGGCACTCATTGACTTGCTGCCCTGTTTGCGGCTTAGCTTACCAGTCTTCAGGCAACTTTAACCAAAAGATACACACACACACACACACACACTTATAGTAGGAGGAGAGCTGATTCACCTCTCTGTCTGTGGTTGTGCTCGCCCTGAAGCCAAATCCTCCCCAGCAAAAAGGCAGAAACTTTTTCAGCCTTCACGTGCTTGCTGTTCGTGACGCAGCCCAAAGTTGCTAATGGAAATTGCAAACATAAAATCATTTTCCACACGAATCTCTGGCCCCAGGGCACGCACACAGGTCCACACAGTCCACCCCCCGAGATCTGCAAAGTAAACCCAACCCAGAAAACAGGGCGGAGAAGCATGCAAAAGTTTTCGCTCCATCTTCCACCTTGGCTTGAATTGATGGCTCGATTTTGATCCAACTTGAAAGGTAACTCCACCCCGAACTGGACATGTTCAGCTTCCTTCCTTGCATTAGCTAATTAATTGCATTAATTGTTAATAGAAAGACACTTTTCTTTTTCCATGGTTAACAATTATATTTCAATAGTACATGTTTGTTTTTGTGTGTGTTTTGTTGGTGTGTGTTTGTTGGTGTCTGTGTGTTTTTGTGTGTCGCTCTGTAATTATTCAATATCTTTCCTTTATAGCTCTTTGCCAGTGCTTATACGTTCGGTTATACGAGTAGTTGC